GGATGGATGGATGGATGGATGGATGGATGGATGGATGGATGGATGGACAAACATCTGACGTGGTAAAAGTCAAAAGCATCTCATCTGATTACCTGGTCAAGAAGTTGGTTGTAAAGTTCATGACAGTTGTCAAAAATGTATCTGTACGTAGAGTCAAGACAAGCTTTCACACAGTCCTTCACCACCATGCTGGCTCTGGGTGGACTCTGGAGCTCTTGTACCTGTACAAACACAGACACATTTTTTGACCTATGAACAAGTCATACAATACAGTAGTCCCTCACTACTTCACGTTTCGACTTTCACGGACTCGCTCTTTCGCGTTTTTTCAACGATTGTCAACTTTAATATTACTCACATGATCGGGACATTATGGGATAAAAAGTTGGAAAAAAAGTACTTCTGACAGGTGCTGCCATTTTGTAGTTTTCTTTCAATAAATCTATACTTTAACACCAGACAAAAGAACTACATTACCCAGAAGCCAACATTGCTTCCGGCAACTGCTTTCTGCCAAAATGGAGAGAAAGTTTTGCAACGCAAAGTCAGAAGTAACAATCTATCTATTAAGCTCACAGAACTGGCGGGAAAGTTGTAAATAATCCTGAAGCTTCCTGAAGCTCAATTATTCATATGCACATCAACCTGGATGGGACGGTGGGCTTCATCGCTGCAGGGTAGGTCTGCTGGACCGGAACCGAGCTGCTCTTCTGCAGAGCTGGTGAGTAAAATTTTGCAGAACTGCACAGTACATATATGTATGTTGTTAAAATTACGTAGGTTTGAAAGTCTAGAACATTGCAAGAGTGTGGGAAGGGTTTATAAAGCTTTAATATATATATATATATATATAAATACTATAATAAATAGAACGTTTTGTGGTTTTTCACCTATCGCGGGGGGGGGGGGGGGTGGAATGTAACCTCCGCGATAATTGAGGGACTACTGTCTATGAATTGTTCAAATAGACCACTTCAATTCCTTATTTACAGGAGACAGTTTAGATTTATACTTTTCCACTGAAGATGAATTGAGTCAAGTTTTCTCCTTGTGCTTTAACTTTTATCCCAGAACAAAAATTTGGAAATTTCTTAAGGCTGTTTTTTAGTTCAGTGCTTTGTTAGCACAATAAGGACAATAAATAAAATTAATATTTTAAATAAATCCTAAGTAAATAAGGACATATTACATTATATATGTAATTATGAACTCAATTTCATATATTATGCATACATCCTAATTGAAATCCGTCAATCTGACTTTTAGGCAAGTGTGCAGGTTATTGTAAAGTAACACTTTAGCTGCAGTGTGTGAGTGCTGGTTCAAATTGTACACACATCAGGGCTCAGCTTTGGCACAGAGTGAAAGCCTTGATGACCTAAAGTGACAGTTTTCATTCCTATGCCTACAGCTGCCATCTCAGTTATGCCTCAGTGCTCTGGCACACCCACCCACCAAAAGACAGCTAGAGAGAAACAAGCTTTCTTATTTTCCAGAAACACATCCATGCACTGTAAATGATGAGAGGAAAGTAGTAGCTTTTTAAACAAAACTACTATAGGTTAATTGTGGAACACAGGCCAATGCCTTACACGATGATGACACTGCAGGAGTAGATGCTGAATGCAAGAAAATGTGTGGTAAAAAAATTGCTTGATTGGTCAGTGGTATTGTGAGGCTGGGGTTTTGGGAAGTTATGGGCCTGAATTGATTTTGCATGAATCAAAAGAAATGGAAATCAATACGGGTTTATATTCATGACTGAATGTGTGGATTTTTAATGACAGTAACCCATCCTGAATACATGATTCACCAAGACAGGGGCACAGCATGTTTGCGATTAAGTAAGCTGGGCTGTGCAGAAGTCTTGAGTCACTCCTCATTTGATTATGTTTTGCTTTTAAGAAGCCAGCACTGAGGGGATCTTGGAAGGTATTTTTTACAATATTAATTAAGTACTAATATCTACCTTTTAAAGATTTTTCAAAGCATTTCTTAGAACTGGGACTAGTTTTCACTCATTTTCTTTCAGCACCTGAATATTTGCATGTTTAGTTTTTTTGCTAAGCCATTGAACATTCCCCTATGAACCATAAAGACATAAAACTCAAGGGATGGCTCAACCAACAATATAACAAGTGTTAAAATAAATCATTTTTTATAAGCAGTGTATCACAAAGACACAATCAGTTTCAAATATTCCTTTTTTTGTTGTTGTTTAACCTATGTAAAACATAGAAAACAGTTTGACAATAAATAAATAAATAAATACCAACAGGACAATTACCAAAAAAGCTATTTTTTCCAGTTTTTTCTAAAGACATGAATTTCAGATACTCTTCATTTATCTGCTGCAGTTTTAATTCTTCTTTTTCTTTTGGCCTTTACACACAGAAAGAACCAGGAATTGGACCCAGGACCTTCTTGCTGTGCAGCAACAGTGCTAACCACTTTGACATTGTGCTGCACAGAAACAATAGAATACAATAAAAACTTTGAAAAATTTCCAGCAGTTCTGAATAACTATTGATAAAGATCACTTTAAAAGATTAAAAGACAGTCTCATTCCTTGGAAGCCAAGTGTAAAGAAATAACGATTGCTTTAAAACATCAAAGTTCATGCTCCAGGTAAAAAATCCAACCAAGTTCAGTCAGGTCATCTGGATGGTTTCTTTTTGTTGCTATCGTTGTTGAAATATTTCATCCTTCATCCAAAGGACTTCATCAGTTTGAGGAGCCACAACAAACTGAGTCCCACAAGCAGAACACTCACATAGTGGGCCAACCAGTTTGCTGATGATAAGATATCCTGATGCATGCTCAATAATCCAGGTAGAAAAATCCAAAAAAGTTCAATCTGGTCCTCAGGACATTCAAAAAACCAAAAAACAAAACAAAGCAAAAAAATGTAGAAACGTTTCGTCTCTCATCCAAGAGACTTCCTCAGTCTGAGGTGCTGTTTTCAGCTCAGTCTCTTGAATGATAAAATGATGATGATGATGATAAGATGGTTTCTGGGGTCCACCCTCTTCCCCTCCCCCCATTTGAACCACTTTGGCTATCGCTACCTCAGAGGAGTCGACGGGGGAGAGGGTGGGCCCCAAAAACCATCTTATCACCAGCAAACTGGTTGGTCCACTGGTTGGTGTGCTGCTTGTGGGACTGAGTTTGTTGTGGCTCCTCGGACTGATGAAGTCCTTTGGCTGAAGGACAAAACATCTCAACAAAAGAAACCGCTCAAATGACCTGACTGAACTTTGATGGAGTGGTTTAAAACTTTTGCACAGTACTGTACATAAGCACCTGCATTTAAACGTCTGTTAATATGAACCCTGTGGTGTCTTGATGCCCTTCAGATTGTTTATTGCTGAGATGAAATCCTCTCTGTCTCACACACCCATACACACAGTTTACCTTCATCCTGAAGAAAGTGATGCTTGTAAGCAAATCCACAGTGGACTTCAGATCTTGGAGACGCTCAGGGTTTCCTGCTGGGAAGTTATCCTGAAACGTAACAGAGAGCGGAAGACAGCATGAGGAGAGAAAACATCTATCTGGCAGCAGCTATATAACATCACACAACTCTATCTACCACATCGCATCATTTACCCCAAAACATGAAAATGGATTATTAAGGAATGGCCAGAAATCATAACAACATGACAGTCTGTCTAATCATTTAGTGGACAAGGGAAGCCTCTGCTGATGGAATTTCTTATTTTAGGGCCATGAAGTCATCAAGGGGTGCAGAGCAGCGTGACGGGGAGCATATAAAGCCCTGGCAGCTCACAGGCAAGCCTTTGCTGGTCCATGCCTTTCACTATTTTTATTCTCACTGAGCTCTTATGAAATGTGCTTGTTTTGTATCACTCCTCAATCCTGTCAATAATTTCACATTGGGTAAGTCTAAAGAAACAAATTCTAACAGCCGCATCAGGCTTGACAGCATAAAAAAAAGGTCCTAGATCCACCCAGATGTGCCGACATGAACCTCACATATTATCTTCACAATGCGAGAAGTGTACCTGGAAAATGGTCTAAGAATCATTGAAAAGAAAAGAATGTGAATGTGGTGTTTACGGCCCACAGACAGACGGCAGTCCACTGAGATTCCAATGTGCTTATGATTAATAGGAAGAGTCAAGTTTGGAGGTGAGAGTGTAATAAACAGCCGCCAGGCGAATCAGCTTGACAGACATCCTTATAAACAAATGTCTGCTGATGGAAAAAAGAGAATAAAAAAAAATCAATAACTTCTTTTTTGTGGGGGGGCTTCAATGTTACTGTTGCATTCTTGCTTTTTGTATGAACATCTTCCAATGTTCAAATGTTTGATCGTTTGTGTCAGGGTGAAAGTTTAATTTCTTTTATTTTATTAACCTTTATTTAATCAGGAAAATCCCACTGACACAATAGATCTTTTTTTTAATGGAGGCCTGGGCCTGAATGATGCATGCTTTTTAGAGTTTCATTCAATTTTTCAAATTTAGGGGTCAGACTTCATTTTTACAAGAAAAAAAAACTATAAACTTCTTTACCACCTCTGTTCTCTACCCTTAGTGCCACAGAACATTATGTTTCTCATATAATGTCCTCCCATGGTACCTGTCAGAAGTTAAAGCATGCTTTGATAATATATTGTTTCTTCTGTGTAGAATCACAACAGTCTACGAATGTTTTGAGGAAGATTTTCAAATCTATTTTTGTGCTTTTCTTAAAACAGTAAAAATGGTAACCGTGTCGTTTAAATTCTTATTTTCCTCCTAATAATGTCATGGCCAAGATAAGTGGCAGCTTAACTGATGGATGCTACACAACATTACACACACAGCACATGCCCTGAAGTGTTTACATGTAAACAAATAAATACAACCAAAATAGAAATCTTTACTCTCACTGCATTTATAAGCCAATCAGGGACAATAATAGTCAATCATATCATTTGCAACCAGATGTGCCAGCCTCCAAGTCATTCAGTGAGCAGGATTAGCCTGCTAACATTCAATTGCTCTTACAGCTGAGTTCAAGTTAAAAATCCATGTAAATGTCTTCTTTATTTTAATTCCAACCCTGAATTGAGTCATAAAGTATTAGAAAGCAAACCAAAATCAATGTTAAACCCATGTAGGGTTTTTCTTTTTTTAAAACACGTGGAGAGCTGGTGCAAGAAGAAGAATCTTCACATCAGTGTGAAGAAGACAAAGGAGATGGTTGTGGATTTCAGAAGGAGCAAACACACCTACCCCCCCCCCCCCCCCCCGACATAGGAGGATCTGAGGTGGAAGTGGTCCTACAAGTACTTGGGTGTGCACCTGAATGACAACCTCAGTTGAGGCAACAACACTACCAGCCTGATCAAGAAAGCTCATCAGAGACTCTACTTCCTCAGGTGACTGAGACGAGCTGGTCTGGGAAGCTCAGTCCTCACCTCCTTCTACAGGTGTGCAGTGGAGAGCATCCTGCGCTCCAGCATCTACGTGTGGTATGGAGGCTGCAGAAAGAAAAGCTTTGCAGAGTGGTGAAGGCTGTACAGAAGACTGTTGAGTCAGCCTCCCCACCATCACAGATATCTACACCTCCAGATGCAGGAAGAGAGCTACCTGCATCATGAAGGACCCCACTCACCCAGCACACATGTTTTGCCCTGCTACCCTCAGGAAGGAGGTTAAGGAGCATTAAGTGCAGAACCACTAGACTGAGGAACAGCTTCTACCCTGAAGCTGCTAGACTCATGAATCTTTAACCAGGAAAATCACTGTAATGCCACTTTAAGTGGTGATATGTGACTTATCTGTGCTGCTGATTATCCATGCTGCTGATCTCTTGCCTTTATGCTGCTTCATACCCATCTGCTCACTACAGACTCATGTTTGGGCTGCTGTTTAATACACCATATTATTTTACATTATTCGTGTTTAGCGTATATCTTAGATCCTTATATACTGTTTTATTTAACTTTATATTTTTGCTATCTTTGAGTGTAACTGGGTCCTTGGGTACACAATTTTGTTCCACCTCATGTACCACATGTGATGCGAATGACAATAAAGAACCTTGAACATTGTTTTTATGTTGCTTTGTAAATAAAAATATTTAGATTCCATTGGTTGAGTACATATACAACACATTCCACCTGATTATATGCATCATGCAATGATTATTCCAGCTCTGAGTGGTTTAAGGTTTGTGATGAATGTCTCCAATCTGAAATAAACAGTACCTACCAAGAGTAAACACAGCACAATGCATGCATATTAATGATCCACTCTACAAATACTTATAGAAATAGAAAAGGCAGCAAAAGTGTTCTGGGTGTAAAAACTCATTTGTGTTCTTATATGGCAGCTGAAGGGCAATTAGTGAAAATAATTGATTAGAAATCCCAGGTATTCGTATGAAAACATTGACTAACAAAGCATTAACAAACAGTAATTAAATGTCCAAACTTTTTATTCTTTCTTTTTTTATTCTCTCAGACCATATTCTGTTCAGGATACGTTTTAAAGTGCACAACATAAGCTGGATGGTGTTACAAAGGAAAATGTAACTGTCAAAACTATCACACTTTGTTTGCATTGCTTTCCTGGTAGCATAAAACCAGACCAAAAATAATTATAGCGTGCTTATTATACATACGAAATGCATCTTTCATAAACTGAAACTATGCAAATCTGTGGCATGAATAAAAAAATGCATTCATTATCTATGGTTTTTGCGATTTTCACACTGTGGCAAAGTAATTTGCTCTCTTTTGATATTCTATGGGAGGAGTAAACATAGCATTAGTATTTTGTAAAATAAGAAATCCCCTTGCAGAAAGAGATGAAATAGCATTCCAAATTGTAAAGTTTTCCCATTTGCCGTTCTATCTTTCCACAATAATGGAGGTCTGACCCATCACGGTGATGAATTTAAATGAGCACTTCACGGTTTAGCATTTTAAGAGTGTTCATTGTTGTAGTGGATTCTGTTACATCAGAAAGTAATCTTCTAATTATGGTTACTGAAGTCAAGTTAAGTCAAGTGCTGACTGACTCTCCCTGCAAAACACTAAATCTCTGCTATATTGGAAATGTCATTTTGATTGTGGATGACAAGTGAGAACAAAAGAGAATGTAACTAATATCTAAATTATAAAATCTGCATTATCTGAAGAGAAAAAAATATCTTAAAACCTATCAAACACCACACTTGCTAAGAAATTATACTTGTGATCTGCCTAATGGCTTAGCTATTAATTGATGGTTTTGTCCCTCTGTGCACGTTCTCTTGTGAAACGATTTGCTGCCACTCCTAAAATCATATTGTTGGAAAATAGAAATGAAGTGAAGAAGAGAATAAAGGATTTATTGCTCACATGACAGATGAGCAAACTAACAACACAGGGAATCCATCTTTGAGCCAACAGCAGCGACAACATCATCACTGCCTTAGAAAGATGACAGGATGTCCATCACGAGACGAGGCTAGCAGCCAGTGATGCTGATGAGCTTTGAGGTTTTTGGTGTTTACACTCAATTTTATATTGTGCCAGTTTTAGTGCCTGTGCAAAGAACTGCAAATTTCATCAACATGAAAACCTGAAAGAATTGCAAGCCAAATCATTTACCCCTTCAAGACTTGTGATTTTAGGTCTGATGATGTGTACAATTTTCTGTACAGCCTCAAAGTCACAGTCATACTAATAATCTTTGAGAAAACAAAACTGAAAAATGCTACAAAAGGGCACCAAGAAAAAAAAAAAAAACTCCACAAAGCTCTTATTGGAAATGTCAGTTTAGATGTGCATCTGTTACAAAAACTTCCATTAAAAATTGTTTACTTAGTTTTGCAGGTTTGATGCAGAAAACGTTTGAACATTTAATGTATTAATTAAACTACAACAGAGGTGTCAAACTCACTTACAAAAGGGGGCCAAAATTAAAACCCTTTTTAAACTAAGGGCCAATTTCAGAAATTACATTAACTCAAATCTTTTCTTGGTCACAGATTCCTCAACAAGGATTGGATTGGTCTCATTTGATGTTTTCTGTTGTGCTTTCGACATCATAATCAAAAATTACTGAAAAAAATTCAAGAGAAAAAAGTATTTTACGTTTCACATATCATCTTGAGGGCCAGATAAGATGTCAACAAGGGCCACATTTGGTCCCCGGGCCTAGAGTTTGACACATATGAACTAAAGCCTTTTTTTTTAATCAATGCTTTTGATGGTTTCTGAGCGCATCCAAATCATAGATGAAGCAAAAATAGAATTAAAAAACACTGGTGTGAGTTAATCTGGTTTAAGACAATTATAGTTTCCTTGATAAATGATTATACTATATCATGAGACTCTGGAATCTGGTGAGGTAGAAGCTGAAACATGGGGGTCAAGTCAACTTTATTTATAAAGCAAATTTAAAACAGCAGTTGTTCCCAAAGTGCTTAACAATAAGATCAATGAGAGTAAAATTAATGGAAAAAATAAAATCCATTATAGTACTGAACAATTTATTAAAACC